TTAGTTAAAGAAATGCCACATGTCAATGAGTCATTGGTAGTTTTTTTCCTACTCAAGATTCATCATTTAATAATTTTTTTTTATATATATGCCACGTGTCTTTATTTAATTCGTCACTTTGACACGTCATCAGCGAGTGTGTTACACACACCTTACAAATTTGGCAGATTGTCGAAAAAGTGTCAAAATGACACAGTTGGGCATGACATGAGGTGTCTAAAATGAACAAAGTCTAGTTAAGGTGTCTAAGTGAAAAATCGTGCCAAATTTAGGGGGCCACCGATGGGTTAGCCCATTTTATAAATAAACAAAAGAGTTCAACTTATATATACAACTTTGCACGATATCCCAAAAGATAATAGGTCAAAATTCAACATGCTACTCCAAATAGGTTCTCAAAATCATTATCTTTTTTTTTTTTTAAAGATCAAGCTTCTAACCTAGCAAATTTATTTACACTTTTAAAAATAAATTGTTAGAGTCTAATGAGAAAAAATAATTAATTTTAGGGATAATGGTCTGAAAAATACTTCAACTTTGACCGAAATTACTGTTACGATACCAAACTTTATGGAGGACCTTTTACCCCCTGCACTATTTAATAGTGTATTTTAAAGGTATATATGTGTCTACGTGAACATCATAAATATTGCATCATTTTTAAATAATAATGTGTCCACGTGGGCACATATATACCTTTAAAATACACTATTAAATAGTACAGGGGGTAAAAGGTACTATTAAATAATACATAGGGTAAAAGGTCCTTTTTGAAGTTTGGTATCGTAACAGCAAGTTCGGTCAAAATTGGAGTATTTTTCAGACCCTTATCCCTTAATTTTATTTTGATTTTGTAATGTCAAGTAATTTGGAATAATTAATGTATTTATAATATGGTGGAAAACTAACATGGAATAGAGGGAGTAGCAACTAGCAAACTTAAAAAATCCAATTTCCAACTTCATAACATATACATCTCCGATCTGTTTATTTTTACTTGTCCACTATTTCAAAAATAAATTTTCATTTTTACTTATCACTTTTATTATATAAAAAAAGATAGTAATAATTATTTTTTTCAATTTTACACTCAGCTAGCATTAATTACTTATTTTACAAATCATTTTTCAAGAGTTAATAATAAAATATTCATATTAACCATTATTTATTAAGATACATGCAAAATTTAATACACGAATAAATAAAAATGAATGAAAAATATAATTGGTAGCACATTTTACACACTTCCTGGGGAAACCATAATAATACTGACCCTCTCATTTGGTGTTGTTTATTGATTCGATTAACTTTTTAATTTTAAAATATTTATTTTATTTATTCATCTCGTCATATTTCTCGATGATATTCCCATTCATTCATTTGTTCACAGTAGAGGTTTTAGGGTGTGAAAATGGGGATGCCTAGACAGTCCTTCTGCTGGAACTCATTGATAATTAATACATTCTTAATTATGTATAAGTAAAAATATGCGAAAATTAAAAATGAACGGAGGGAGTATTAAGTTATAAATAACTAATACATGAAAATTTATATTAATAGTAATGCAAAGATTTTAATGCATGCATTAGTTTGATACTTTGATTAAAGACACAATTATTCCTCAAAATCTTTTCCACATTCTTTTTATCATATTTGTGGAGGGTATGTAAACAAATCTATTTTTTATAGAAATCATACAATGCATGTTATTTTTAATACACCAATCATATATTGCATAAGAAATAATCTCAACATAACTAATATTATAGCATTACTAATTCAAACATTTAGAGGTGTCAAATGGACATGTTGAGCTAAATTTATGTGGATCAAAATGGGTTGAATTAGTAAATGGACAAGTTAGTAACCCGCCCAATTCTCAAAAGTTACTTGAGTTGAAATGGATTGGGATGAAAATAAGCTAAAATGTGTGTTATAACTCACCTGTCCAATTTAATTGCTTTATTTATTCTTTTATCAAATTTTAGTACCTAGTAAAATTATTATTATATAGCATATCGAATCAAAAATACATATTTTAAAAAATATTTTGATAAGATTTGGCGTGAGTCAATTTGAGCTATAAATTAACCCAATTTTAATGAGTTGAAATGAGTTGGACTGAAATAAACTTGAGCTAATAAATGGATAGGCAGATTCATAACCTGCCCAAACATGAATGGATTAGACGGATTGAGTTAATTATAAACAAGAAAAATTACCTAAATACATGACTTATTTTACCATATTCTCTAAAAATTCCCACCATTTAAAAAAATTGCTCGCTCCTATTTTCTAATACATCACTTTACGCGATGTATCCGGACGTACCCGATGTATCGGAACGTTGTGTGATGTATTCAAAATTGAGACACGATGTATTAGGATGTTGAGCGATGTATTCGAAATCGAAACGCGATGTATCGGGACATTTTAGAATGTATACGGATTCCACCAAATTTAAGGAATTTTTGTAATCTGAAAAAAAGTATGAATAAAATGTAGTTAAGTCTAACACTAAAATTCTCTTATAAATATGTCAAATCAAACATGAACGAGTAAAAATGAACGTATACTGGTGGAGGCACCATAGTACTTATTAGCAGCCTGTCTCCTGCTAACACTCTGTGTTCCTTCGTGTCTCAACTGTAAGCTATTTTTCTTCTTCTTATTATTATTATTATTATTATTATATATATATATAAATATATACTATCCAAACAGTACTCACTTATCATATAAACACTTTCATTTCCTATTTCATTATTTTCAAGAATGGACATTCTTGGTAACTTCTATATTGATCCACTTTCTCTAGTTATACCAACTACTACCTCATCAAATTAAGTTTGTTAATAATAGTAATGAAGAAGTCATGTTGTTACTAGCTTCGAAAATCCCAAAAAAACGTGGAGGTAGGAAGAAGTTTCGTGAAACTAGACACCCGGTTTATAGGGGAGTGAGGTGGAAGAATTTCGAAAAGTGGGTTAGTGAAGTGAGAGTACCTGGTAAAAAGTCAAGAATATGGCTTGGCACGTTTCCCAATGCAGAAATGGCAGCTAGAGCTCATGACGTGGCGGTCATGGCTCTTAAAGGCCGGTCAGCTTGTTTGAATTTTGCTGACTCGGCTTGGAGGTTGCCTGTCCCTGCTTCAGCAACCGCCAAGGATATTCAAAAGGCGGCTGCTGAAGCAACTGAGACATTTCGTGCGTCAGAATCCTTGGAGAGAGAAAACTCTGAGGAAGTTGTTGTTAATAATGATGATCATTATGTTGTTGACTCAGGTTGGAGGTTGGCCATCCCTGCTTCAGCAGCAGCCAGGGATATTCAGAAGGCAACTGCTGAAGCAGCCGAGGCATTTCGTCCGTCAGAATCCTCAAAGGGAGAATACTTTGAGGAAGTTGACTCGACTTGGAGGTTATCCATCTCTGCTTCAGCGGCCGCCAAGCATATTCAAAAGGCGGCCGCTGAAGCATTTTGCCATTCAGAATCCTCAGAGGGAGAAAATTACTCTGAGGAAGTAATCATTAATGATGACCAACTGATCACACAATATCTCATTGACTCAACTTGGAGATTACCTATTCCTGCTTCAGTGGCCGCCAAGGCAGCCACTGAAGCATTTTGCCCTTCAAAATCCTCGGAGGGAGAAAACTCCGAGGAAGTTACCATTGATGAACAAGTCATACAAGACATCGTCGTTCCAAAGTTTACGGAATATAATGAGTTGTTCATGGATGAAGAGGCCATTTTCTACATGCCGGAATTACTTGTGAATATGGCCGAAGGACTAATGCTACCTCCTCCTCAATGTACATATGGCATGGAACCTCATGATATTGACATGTCTTTGTGGAGTTACTAAATTTTAACCAAATGTGTTAAAAATTGTCTTTTTTTACAAAAAATAAGTTTGTTTTTAAACTTGATTTTTTGTGTTTTTTAAGCAGAAATAATATTTAAAAGTGTTTGTGTATAATTCAAGCATATACTATTAGTGATGAGGATGGAGGGTAAGGGCGTGGAGAAGACAATCAATGTGGAATATAATGAACTTGTTTTCCTTACTTTCCATGGAGAAATCGAACATGAGTTGTTACCATAAGAGTTGTTTTCCCTCTTTTTTCCACTCAAACACGAGCTGTTACCACAAAATTTGCTAGTTAAACAAGATCAAAATATGGTGTCATATGTCTATTTCATTCTAGCTAGTGAAGTATTCAGACACATTTTCTATCATAATTATCATCAACCATTTATCAAAGTATATTTGCCTTATTACTCTGATGATGTGTAATGTATACTCTCTTTTTTAATTTAAAAATGGCACTAAATGGCAGTCCATGTAAATAATTAAAAGATTATGGTGAAAAATATATTAGAAGTATCAATTTTTTGTAAATTTTCTACCTAAACTATCTGGTATTTGCGTTTTTTAATTTGAATTATCAATAATTATTAATCATAACACATCTTGAAATTAATGAATCAGTCGTTATATGGACGAAATTTTATGAATAAATTAAGTTGTCATGCACTTTTTGACGATTCTAATCAAATACATGGTCCAATCAACTTCAAGAAGTGTTTTGATATATAGCTTATGATAGAAAACAAGAAAATTATAAGCTAGCCATTACAAAAGTATGCAAGTTGACATCAACACAACATAGACAATAAAAAAGCTTAAAAGAAACAGAAGCAGTTCACATTCCATCTATATATATGCCTTTCCACTCCCCTCTTCCAAGGATAACAAAATTGGAAGTAAGAAGGAAAGACTGATTTTAACAACAATAAGAGAATATCAACTCTTTACACTTTTTACTCATAACCGAGAAATTCCCGAGGGCCAGTGTGATGCAAGGTTTAGAACTCGGTGAATAACGGGTACACAACTTTACCATTCTCCACTTAAATACTAAGCTTTTGTCTATTGAAGCACTTGAACTTTGAGACGTGTGCTTAAACCACATATCACGCGACTTTTATCCCTTAAATCGGATACTTCGACTAATACCAACATTAATTCCTGTAGTTTCTCCACCATAAGGACCACTTGGTTTCTTAATTTTCTGAACTTGTCCTTCCCTACGTTTCTGAGCCTTTTCATGTTTCCCCTAAGAGAGAGAAGTAGACACAGTTTGTCAACATTGTTTATATAAGGGAACTGGTTCTTTCAAGCACAAGTAATTCTGCTTTAGCCACTTACCCTGTATTTCTTCCTTGGATTTTTATCTTGCTTCTTACGATTACGAGTAAGGCCTCTGTTCTTCTCCATCTAGAAAATAAGGAAACGCCGAGCTTAGTGAAAGAAAAAGGAATGTCATGATTGCAATTGACAGCAAGGCTAATATGTCATACCTGGTAATTTATCTGGCGCTTCCCATCCACAACGGTTTCTGGCGTTGACAGCATAGCTGGGGTTCTACAGTGGCGAATTGTGGTGAATTAAATGACAATTGCAGGACTAAAAGGATATACATAATAATCCATATTGACGAGGCATCCTCAAAATCTTTCACATGAAAGTAGTTTAGCATGCTTGCTTTAACAATCTTAAAACAATATTGAGTCTAACCTGGAATACATCTTTTCTTTAGCAGCAAGCTTAGCTGAATGTTGCTTTTCGACTTCTCTGTAGAATTCCATATCTGAGTCCATTTCACTGTCGTCAGAAGTAGCAACATCGTCACTTGCATGGTCACCAGGCTCATCATTGACATCATCAGTAGGTTCAACTCCAGCTCCAGCTAGAACTCTCAGTTCATGCTTTCTTCTCCTTTCTCCAATGTCATCTCGTTTAGGTAAATCATCATCACCAGAAATTATCTTCCAAAAGGAACAAAACTTGTTATAATACATCTAATTAGGTTAAATTACAGGAGACATACTAGACGAATTTTGAAAGCAGGAAAAGGATTCCATGCAACGAAAATGACTGTAACAGAAATCCACTTTAACATGAGCAAAATAGACACACATGTAGTCGTCAAGTTCGAGCCCTAGGAATGGAGAAATTCCTAGTAAGGAGTACTTCCCCCTATAATGGCCCCTACGCGATTACCGATTGGTTTCAAATACTAGACAATATCTATTTCTTTTATAAAACAAAAAAGTGAATATATGTACAGTTGTACACACACACACACACATATATATGAATATAATACCCGAGGAAACAGGAAAGGAGAAGAAGTGTCAAAGCAAATTTTGCAGTACCTTAATATTGTCAGCACTAACTGCTTGCACAATTATTTAACCACACTGCATTTATTTGATCTTGTAATACAGATATTTGTGAGGGGTGATTTTGACAGCACAGAAACTTAGAAAGCGAAAGGTTGTCTACATGAGCTGGTGTTTCTTATGTAAGGATGCTGGTGAGGACGTGGATCGTATTTTGTTACATTGCAAATTAGCTACGAGGTTATGGGAGGATATGTTTACATGGTTTGGCGTCACTTAGGTAAAGCCAAGATCTGTGAAGGAGTTGATGTCAGCCGGAAGAGAGGAGCTAGGAGAAAGAAGGCACAAGGCGTGGAATGTTACTCCACTAGCTCTAAGCATTTGGAAAGAGTGAAATAGGAGAGCTTTTGAAGGGGTGCGGATGAGCTTTGCTCAATTGAGAAGTAGTCTCCGATCCCTTATTCTCTTTTGGTGCACCCATGTAGTTCTTATTTGTATAGAGGATTGGGTGTCTTTTGGAGAGAACCATATTTTGTAGGTTTCTACTTTTTTGGTATATCTTGTGTGTACAGCCAAGTTGGCCTTGTTATTATCAGTGATAACTTACTTGATCAAAAGAAAAAATAAAATTGGAACTCGAAAATGAAGAGCAGCTAAACACAACATGTGCCAACATGAAGGCTTCAAAATAATCCTAATTGCCACAAATTAGAAAACTGTGACATCAAACAGTAGAAACTAGAAACACAGTTGTAGTCACTCTGATAAGCACACTGGAGAACTAAAAACTTAACAATAGCATCCAGTCAAAATGTTACAGAATACGACTCAAATAACATAAATTATGACCTCATTCAATTGCAACATCTAAATATGTAACTTCTTGAAAATATGTGCAAAGATATACTGCTCCGTCACAAATCAATTGGCCATTTATAAATATCAAGGTCAAAGAAGGTTTCCTTTTTTTTTTCTTTCACATACTTGGGAATTGCTATAAGAGAAGCAAGAAGGAATAAGGGAAAAATATTAGAGTGACCACCAAAAAAGGAAAAGGGGGCAACTCTATAGCGAAAGAGAGCCATCCACAGAGACAGAAGTTGAAATGACTGTCAAATTCCACAAGTTCAGAGAATCATATCTCAATGCAGTTGCATACACTCACATAAAAGACATAGGATATTTATTTACAAGAAAATCAACAAAATGAAGACAGAATTAAAGCAGTTGTGATCCACACCTTGGGTCTTGCTACTTGAGGAGTTAAAAGCCTAGACAGCTTGTTTAAACTTCGTGTCTCGCGATCATCTTCAGCACCCATGGCATCATCATCAAAATCATCAGGAGTTGCCAACAGCCTGCATATAATTCATTAGACTTCCCAGTAGTGACACGTTTGCATTAATTTATGTTGACTAACAGAAGAGGTAGATGGAGAAATAAATTGCGAAGCAAATTGATACCCATTCAGAAGTCGTGAGCGCTTGTTTTGTTTTTCATTTTTCCGTGCAATGGAACTTAAAACACCTGTCTGCTTCAATTTTTCCTCAAGAGAAGCTCTCACTTTTAACATTTCCATGCTTTGGATACCAACTTGATCATCCTGCCACAATTCTTTAATGTTAGTTAATTTGATCTACATCTTACTGGTAAAAAAAGAAGAGATCTGGTGATCTTGCAACAGATAGAAACATGGGCAAAAGAGTCGCTAGAAATAAAAATGACAATGACACTGGCACAAGTCTGGTGACACTTGATTCGTATTGTAACAGTGACAGTGGACACACCTGCTGATGGTTGATAAGCAAAACAGAGGTGTGCTTAGATACATACACCATTTACCTGGCGTTTGCGTTTTGATTCCTTTTTCCGTTGACTGTTTAAACCATTTAACTCCGCCAACTCAGCTTCATGAGGCTAAAACAACGGAAAAATTAGACTAAATCTTACAGAGCTGCTCAGTAAAAACAACAAAAGGTTTTAATTCAAAATCAGCCCATAAAAGAAGGAAAAATATTATGCTTTGAGCAACAAAATAAGATGAATCAAACTGAAATTACCTCTGCTTCTTGAATATCAGTCGACACCACAGAAGGCTTGTCACTAATGGGGAGAGATTTAGAATCCAAGTTCCTTCCCGCCAACTTTACACCAGTTACATTATCAACATTCTTGTGTAACAAGTCTTCTAGAGAAGGAAGATATCCATCAAGTTCTTTCATCTGCAAAAATTAATTTGTTAACACCTATAAAGATAGGAAGAGGGGAGCAGGGTATACGCAATGAAGATAGCCAAGAATCAAATAAAGCAGAAGAACAAGGAGAGGACTGCCCCCAAGGCCTAGCTCAAGTGGCAAAAGGTGGAGGATTTGTGGCTTAGGTCGCAGGTTCAAGCCCCACACCATGCAAAGCGAAGCCCGGTATTTAAGTGGAGAAGGGTAGAGGGGCGGGCCCATTATCCACCGAGTTTAGAAGGCTGTGATTGGTCCAAAGGGCGGGTCACAGACGGATTTCTCGGTTATCAAAAAAAAAAAGGAGAGGACTTAGCAACTATTTGGCAACATCATTTAGCATCTAAACAAGCTAAAAATGTTTAATCAGTACATGATTAACAAATTTGATACGTTAGGTTATGATCAGTTAGCATACTATTCCCACTTCAAATTCTCCAAGACTCGAGAAAACTTGATTAAAAAATTACAGAATCCTTCCACGGAAATCCACATATTTAACTTATTTGACAAATGAGTTTAGCTAGCTATGCTAGACAGATATATTTATCAAACAAATTAAGAAGAAGGCTGGAGAATATTTTTATGGGGTATTCACTTGGAATAAATATGCAAGAGGCACACAAGGGTTTGGCCTAGTGGTTAATGAAGTGGACAAGGTGTGCAGGTATCTGTGGAGTTAGTCGAGATGTGCACAAGCTGACCCGAATGTCATGGTTACAAGATAAGAGAAAAAAGGCAAGAGTAGGATACTAAGGGTTTTAACTGTTTTGCAAAACAACATGTAAGATAAAGGAAGGATACTTGGGTACGGAAATGACGATTCAGTAAAGGGTGGTAGAATAAGTGACCTTCATGTCCATTTACAGAGAACTGAAGAAGAGGAAAAAAGGGTTGTCCTTTACATTTTCTGTGGAACAGTAGAACAACCAAAGAAATTTAATCCATCTGTTAGAACTGAATATTTGTGACAGCAGTATGGAATTTAATGCTAAATGTTTTTTTGGTAGAAAGGATAATAGAGGGGCAGGAAAGGAAGCATAGGAAGTTATCCAGATGCAGTCATGGGGGACACAAGGTGAGAAAGACATCATAGAGCTTCTAATGTAGTGGAAAAGAGTTGTTTGAACTGCAGATCGAGGTTCTATTTTTTGTATGTTTGGGAATGAAGGGGACCCAATAGAGCAGAATCAGTACAGAGAATTCATAACTAGACGTTAAGCCCTCGACTAGATTAGAATTGAGGTGTTGTTGATTGATGATCGATAGATATTTGGTACATACATAATATCCAGGATGAATAGATGATTAAGCAATTACTGTATAGAAGGCTTGATGTATAGTCCTTGTAGGTATTTCCCAAACACCATCAAAAAAGTTGTTCGCTTATTAACACATAAACATATATTGAATTTAAAACCATATCATGAAAAAACAAAATAAACCTTATCTGGGTGATGCAATTTACACCTAAAGATTTCACACTGCTAAATACAGTAATGAAAAAGCACTTTGATGTTGGAGTCGATTTCATCAAGCTTCATATAGAAAAGGGCAAGGGAGGAAGAAGCTGCCGATGGATGAATAAACAAGTTCAGATTAGCACTAAGATACTTTTTACACTAAACTAAAGAAGAAATCGCCCAGATGCAGACAGAATAACATAGATTTTTACAAGGAGGGTGAATTAAAGAATTGAAACCTTTGTCAAACATATAGATATATTTCATAAGTATCAACTAGATAATAAAGTGTCCTCTAGCTTTCTCCATGAGCAAAATAACTACACTATGTGTTAACCTTTTCCATTTTTAACAGCTAATGGTAGTACCTTTATATTGAAAGTCTGCTGATTACCATATGAGGTGGTCGGCAAATAAATGTTTTCAACATGTGTATGTGAACACAATTCACTTGGCATATATCTCAAAGATTAGATAAAGCAGTCTTATCTCATCAATTATGCATATACCACATAAACAAGTGACTGATTTTCCAGCAAACAATGTCATCATTAACAGAATTAACAAAAACTGGCAAGCAGTAATTTGGCCATGTTTCGTTGTTTGAATCCTATGATATGAGTTGTAACCTTATTCAACAGATTCTTGATCTCCACAAGGCGTGAAATGACTGGATGATCACGCACTGGCTGCCCCTCAGATTTGAGAAGAAGGTAGAAAGATATAGCTTGGCAATATGACAGCAGAAGCAGCTTCTCCACTTCAATGTAGTGCATCCCGCCCTTTATCATAGTCTTTCCATTAATCTTAATAGAGAAAAACAGAAGTTAAATGCTGACAGGTGCAATATTACCAAAAACTGCATTCAGTTTCTAACTAGAAGAACGACTAATTCCATTGTTATATGAGTCAACTCTCACTGTTTTAACTAAAATTGTCAGTTACACTACCCCAACCAATCATTTCTAAACCTTCATTATTTCATCCTTTCAGCTGAGCATCTTTATAACAGATCCCAAGTAACTAACTACAAAAACTGTCACCGAAGAACCTGAAAACTGTTTAAAGGGAACCACAGCCAAGCAGGTCTAAAATGTATGTGTGGATTTCACAATGTAAATAGAATTATTATTTTTGATAACCGAGAAATTCATATGTGACCCGCCCTTTGGACCAATCACAGCCTTCTAAACTCGATGGATAATGGACCCGCCCCTCTACCCTTCACCACTTAAATACCGGGCTTCGCTTTGCATGGTGTGGGGCTTGAACCTGCGACCTAAGCCACAAATCCTCCACCTTTTGCCACTTGAGCTAGGCCTTGGGGTTGTAAATAGAATTTGGCATTTGGCGAGAACGCCAATACGCAGTTAGACTAGTATCTTCCACAGCAGACTCAGGTTTGAATAGCATAATAGCGACCGACCTGTAGTTAGTGGAATTTCCAATGCACATACCTTGTTGAATAGGGGATTAACTTTGTTATCGAGCTGCTCAAGCGCTTCACCAAGCTCAGACAGCAAACCAACCAATTCAGGTGCAGAACTGTAATCACAAGAAGATCATAGATCAGAAGCACAACTTTTTTAATTTATTGAGAAACAAGTCAGAAGCATCATATAACCTGCAAAAGTAAATGTTAGCAACCTCCCAGACAATATCTAGCCAACGACATTAGAAGCAGACAACACACATCGAAGATTCTTACATTTGATTCGAAAATCACAAGCATGCAATGTAGAATTCCATAAAAGAAGGCCATTGTGCCGTGACGGACGGACATTTCAACTGAACACTTCTGATCCTGTACAATAAATTTGGACAGGGGGCTAACTACATATTTAGTGATCTCGTCCAGGGGATAACTAGATATTTGGTAATCTCATCTATATATCATGGACTGAACTCCATAGTGAATCCTCAGATCTTGTGAAAGCTCCATTTCATTCTTCCTTGTTGAAATGAACACATCGACACCTCTGAAGTAGCTCCCTGACTCCCATGCCTCCGTATAGCTAGCTACGTTTGACTACTCCTTTTAATAAGCATGACGTCTGGGAAATTTCACGGGGTATATGCTACCTCCCACCAATAGAGGTACTGGTTAACCCTGTCCACCAAGACAGATGGGAAGAAATCAAATTACCTAGTGTTTTTGCCTTTGTTGGGGTTTGAACCTGAGACAACTACCCTTGAATACTCAACATCTTGATCTTGTGACTCAATTGCGACCCACAAGCCTACTTTTCTCCTTGTTCTACATGATCTTAATACAAATAAAAGCTTATGAGGCACATTTAAGAAAATAGATGCAGTGGTTACTAACATCCAGTGGCCCCACTTCTCAAGATCTTCTGGCATTGCACTCTTGACCTACCACTTTGCCTCGATAATAAATTGTACTTCCTAGACATAGAATCAACTTCCTCATAAAAAAATGTGAAGCCATTGATAACAATGTGACACAAGGCATGCTCCTTCTGGCTTTCTTCTATTGCACGATTATGAGTTGCATTATCAAAAAAGTGTCATTGAGATCCAATTTCCTTATCTTCATCAGTAAGCTTCTCTGCTTAGCATGGTATTCAATATCCTGAAGTCCGCCATCTCCGTGCAGAACAGATATGTAACAGGGACAGCTGCTAACTATCGGAACTTCCTACTGAAACCTCTGACACTAACATACCATGATCCATTTTTAAATGGTCAAATTGAGGATATTGCAGAAATGGGTCCTCAAATATCATTGTCATATTGGAGTCTGAACTGAGCAACACATAGAGTTTTTGTTCTTTTGTCAACTTCCACAACAAAGGTAGGGGTAAGGTTTGTGTACATCCTACCCTTCCCAGACCCCACTTACGGGACTACAGTAGGTATGTTGTTATTGTTGTTGTTGTCAACTTCCACAACCTTTAGCTGTAAACTTAAATATAAACTATTCTGTAGGAAAACTTAGTTCATCACCTGCCATTTTCTCTTCTATTTTGCTTTCCCGATTATTGAGAATGTACTGATATCTATTTAATTGTAACTTATGTGCCTCCCTTTTCCTATACTGATATTATCATGATACATTACATAACATTATCGACAATGACAGGCAATAGAACTTAAAAGAAGCAACATTTTGCCCTGAAATTAGCATATGTTGGACAGAGAAGCTCACCTATAGACAACATCCATTTGCTCTTCTTTTGTCAAAGCATTCAAATCCTTCTGCACTTCCTCATAAGCAGTGCCAGTTTCATTTTTGGCTTCTCCATCTGCAGAAACTGCTGATCCAGGTTTTCCTTGGACCAAAATTTCCTGCAATGTTACCCATAAGATTTCACTTCCAACCTCAAAATATAAGAAAGAATCATCAAATGAACATTGATATAAATTGAATTTCTCACCTCAAATGTGAGTTCATCATCTTCAATCCCAAAATCCGCTGCAGATAGGGATTTAGCTTTTTTCTGCTGCATTCTCAATACCTCTGCCTCCTCCTCGGCAATAAGGTCCTCATCACTTGACTCTTCAACATACTAACAAACAAAAATGTTCAAGTGACATCAAGTATTGCATGCAAATGACGACATGATCAAAGAACTATGTTACAGCCTACAGGTACTGTTGAAACAGTAAGGAGAGGATAATCCTCTGACATCATATTGTTGTCTCTAAAGCCAGTAAAGTATTGGTTTCTCCAAGCGTGCCATATATAATTATGTCATAAAAGAATGAAAGTTAAGCAAATAATTAGGTGAAATGCTACCTCTTTATTTTGATAATAAATGTTCTTTCCTCTTCCCCACATTTCTTCTTTCTCCTGTTCAGCCTCATCATGCATTTCATCCTCAACCCCACCCATAGTAGCTTGTAAATATTTCTGTGTCCTTGCAACTAAAGCAAAAATAGGTACTCAAAAAAATTATATATTAAAAGACAGAAGATCCAAGGAAATATGGCAAAAAAGAGGCATATATTAACAGATCAAGAACCAAAAGAAATGTAAAAGCTAGAACCCGAAGGAAACAAATTTGCTTATTAATTCAACAAATAAGTATGGAAGGAGTCTTCCTCCTGTCATCTATGTGTAGAAGCTCAGTTCAGAGAAACTTAAGAACTAGGAGCCACAGTAGAAATAGTAACTAAGTGGTTAGACCTACTGAGCTTTGTGCAGTATTACACAGTTCGAACACACCATTAATATTTAGTCTCCGGCCTAATTAACCTCAATTCAATAATCAAACACTAGGAATTCCTCTCACCACCACCCCACATGCATTTTCAAAATCTTAATGAGAGTAAAAGGCTGCTATATTTCTATTCTGCTTTTTTTATCTTTTTCTTTTCCATTTTTTGGGAGAGGAAACTCCTTAAATAAATCTAAACTGATCTTATGCTCTATGTTGCCTTCAGAAGCACTAAAAGGGAATATCAGAGAAGAATTTCATAACAAACAAACAGGATAGGCAATTCAGCTAAAGTATTTCATTTCAATAACAAAAGGCAGTCACAAGATCGAATTTAATTGCATACTTTTAGCACCAAGGCCAGTAAGTTCAGCATCATCAAAGTCGTCATCTTCATCCTCCTCATCTTCATCCTCCTATACAAAGGAAAGAGTTCCCCAACCTTGAGTAATTAGTTGACTTGCTTTACATCAAATTAGTACTCTAATTTCTTAATACAGTTTATAAGCCTTCAGTATGAAGATAAAAGTTGCAAAAGAAAATTCATTATCACCTTAAGATCATACACGGGATGCTCATTATCCTCATCCGACTCTGCCGAATCTTCATTAACATTCAGTGGAATGATATCTCTCTTTTCATGAACTACAAATTAACCAAAAAGATTAGTAACAGATAAATTCTTTAACATGTAAAAACATTTTTTTATAACACACTCCCTCACCCCTCGCCCCTCGCCCAGCTATAGCTTCGCCTACAGGTTCAGCAGAATCCAATAAGTTTGGCTCAAACCTTATAAAGCTGCATTTTTTTAAGATTCAGAATCCATAAACTCAAAACACTAGCTCAATCTTTGCTCTAATGCTCTCTCTCCATCCATGGACTCAAAAAAGTAAATTTCTCTCTAAAAAAACATTTTTTTGCATATATATTCTTGTATCTAATGCTACAACAACAAAATAATAAGTATAATCCCACAAATGGGGTCTGGGGTTTTTGTATCTTATGCTAACTTTGATAAAAAGATAAGTAGATAGAGTTTATAAAAGGGAAAAACTTACAGGCATCAATAGCATCATTCATCATATCATCATCTTCATTGTAAAAATCAATTTTTGATTTCTTTGGAGGGTTGTTTTCCTTCTTCTTGAACTTTCCTGATTTCTTTCCCATCCTGTAACTTGGAGGAACTGAAGCAAAGGGTTTAACCTAAATCTCCAAAAGGTTAAACCTTTATTAAGAGAAACTGTTTTCTTGAACAAATACAGAAGAGTTTCAAAGGCCTCAAGGAACTAAACCTTTATAAGATTATAGTTATTTTTTTTGTTTTTGGTTTTCTCCCTTTTTATTTTCATTTTTTTTCTCATCAAAGTTTTTCAATGCTTTGTGTTTATGACAAATAATACTAATTTTTTATGATTATGTATAATTTAATAATATAAAATATATATTAAATAATCATTCGTGAAAAATATTATGACTATACATGTCATATATTTAAGGGATTTTTGACCCGATCCAAATAAGAAAAAAATTAAGGAAAAAGAACACTTGTAGCAAAAAAGAAAAATTATTTAGAAGCACTACCTCTTACTTTCGTACCTCCCTTTTTAACTACTAATGCACCTTTAATGGTTGATACTATTAGAGTATATATATATATATAGTCATGGTATATATTAATATTCCGATTTTCTAGTTTCATTCCTAAACTATAAGGTGTGTCAGTTTCCTATCATCGATAATTTATCAAAACACACTTCTAACTATTTCGAGTTTCATACCTTAACTATAGGTATGCATGAGTTTCATACCTGACCTATAAGGTGTGTTAGTTTCCTATTGAAACTATCATCGATAATTTATCAACACACTTTTAATTATTTCGAGTTTCATACCTGAACTATAGCTAATGAACCTTTAATGCTTGATAGCATCAAAGTGTATATATATATATAGTCATGGTATAAATTAATATTCTGATTTTCTAGTTTCATACATGAACTATAAGGTGTGTCAATTTCCTATTGAAACTATCATCTATAATTAAAACACACTTCTAACTATTTCAAGTTTCATACCTGAACTATAGGTATGCGTGAGTTTCCTACTTGAACTATCATGAACTATTTATCAAAACATACCTCAACTATAAGTTGGTGATATTTCTAGGTAGGAAATTCGCACACCTATTCATTTAGGTATGAACTCTAAAAAACTAAGTACTTATGTTTTTAACCCTTCCCTCTATTTGAAAAATAGACAAAAAGCACTAATGGGCTGAACATACAATTTCAGTGATGTTTACCTTAGTGAGTGCAACGAAGAAAACGAATGAGCAGCGTCAGGCGAGGCGGAAACCGGCGGCAGCAGTGACGTGGCGGCTCTGAGCAGCAGCGGTAGCAGCCGGCGATTAAGATTTGTCGACTTATTGGGTATTTGCAATTTGGAACCCTACAACTTGTTTGAATGTTTGTAATTTTAGTTTTTATACCTAATTTAAAATTAATATAACTTTTGATATCTTTATGAAAAAAAGAAAAAAAAATCTTTCAACCAAAATTCAAAAATGAAAATAAGAAGTATTGAAAACACTTCTAAATTTGACACAAATTATTAGTTTCATCTCCGAATGATAGTCTTAAAATCATTCATTACTTGATTAACTGAACTTAGATACACAAACGATCTTTCAACATGAATGAAATACATTCCTAATTCTCGTCAAGTTTAGGGTGTTTTCAACACTTTTTCGATATTTTAATAAGAGTCATACGCTCCTACGAGAGTTTGAGACCACTTGTTATGTCATGTGGGAGATCATTGGTATATCTAAATTTAATTAGTCAAGTAGAGGAGTGTTTTTAAGGTTGTCAATAGTTCAGGACAAAACTAATAATTTATGTCAAATTTTGGGGTGTGCTCAATACTTCTCTCGAAAATCTACAATATATCGAGCTTCTTTTTTACGTCTAATTTTTTCGAATCAACAAAATAATTTAAAGTCGAACATCCAAAAATTAATAGATTGAACAAAAAAAAAAAAAAAAA